GACGATGTGAACAATTGTTGTTAGAGGATGCAGAGACGACTTAGCCTCTAAGACAATGTTATAGTATGATTAGATAGATCGAGGTTAAAGGTAGCTATTTGGTGGAATGAGGGTTTAGGGTTTGGGAGGGGTAGGAGATGTAGAAGGGGGAAGATATGCTTTCATTTTTGTAACCGTCATAATTAGTCCAATTAAGTCGAGTTGATTATTCTTTATCACTATTAAGTATAATATTTTTTAATTTAATTTCTATTCGGTACAATTTATATATTGTATGATTATTAACATACCATAAATTAAAAAGTAAAGTAAAATACCCATACATATATTATATTTAATTTACCCATACGGTATTAAATATATAAATAGCATGACAATTACTCGGAGGAAACATTTGCACCAATTTACCTTGGACGTGGGTTTTCAATGGTTAATTTTTGTCACTACAGCAAACTCATTACTTATTCATAAATTGACATAAAATTAATTTATTATACTATAAACGAATTCTAATTGCAATAAAGACCTAATCGGATCTCTTTTCTCCTTATGCCTATTTGATTTTTCCCCAACTAGTGGGAAGTAAGGTGATCGCGTGCTATCTAAGCAATTGACGGGTACCAACATAACTTATCATAATCATAAACTTCCACCTAGTGGGAAGTGAGGTAGCCGCGCGTTGCTAGCCAAGCGAGTAGTTGAAAACGTATTCTTACTTGATAACTTGGTAACTTGGAAGGTAAGTCCATAAACTTGCTTAAAACGTAACTTGGATATGCTTGCTTTAAAACATAGCTTCATGATTAAATGTAATGCCATGCTTACCGAACATAAATAAACTTAATGTGAACATACACATAGAACATATGAGTTTAACTTAAGTAAATGACATGATTAAAGAGAAATACTAACTAGCCCCCTCAAACAACGCACCTTAATTGGTCGAGAATGTCGAAAATGATATCGCCTCCACTCAACGAGGTGATACACCTTGGTGAACCCATGGAAAAAATCGAGATTAGATCGATAGGGTTTCGGGTACTTAGCGACGATTTTCTCGACTTGGGACTACTTTGCAAAGGACGACTAAATAGCGTACCAATTAATTTATCATGCTAGCACCTTAACTCCTTAGATATAATAGTATTAATATTGTTAGAAACAAATAATTTGCAGCTTTTTGTTATTTCGTATTATTGTCGGTCTTTGATAATTGGGGGATTATTTGAGGTTTTAGCAATAAGCAGGGAGTCGATTGTTACATTTTATTAAGTGGGTAGGAGTTAGAGAATTGGCGGATTATATAATATGCAGTAGGGTGTTATTTTGACATTAAGCAATCAATTACAGAAAACCTAAAGTAATCTTCCTCTCTCTCCCTTCCCTCCTGCGCCGACCCTTCCTCTCTCTTCTTCTTCCCCAAAGCTGCGGCAGCAGCAAGATTCCCCTCTCCCTTCTGTTCTCAATTCCCAAATTCCAATCCCTAGTTCGGTCAATTCCTAATTGGCCTAGCTAATTCCCAAATCCCAAACCCGTTAGAAACTTTGTTTCTAACAAATATCTCATCCGATTTAAATACTTGGAAAACTAATCATGCTAAAATCAATTACCTAGCATGCTATAACATATATTACCATAGTGAACAAACTAGTAAATTTACCCATTAACTAACATAGATAAATCTTACTTACTAATCATATCAAATATCGTAGTATCTTCTAGTTTAATTCGTCATAATGTCATACCCGTAAAAATAATATTTGCTAATTAATAACTTAAATTATCTTAACCTATTAATTTACTTAAAAACCTCTTGATAACATTACTACCAAGAACCTATTAATTTACATGAATTCATCAAATACTTAATTAACGTAAACTAAATCATTTTATTAACATCCTAATCCATAAAGCAATAAGATACATATTAAATCTACTATAAGTTAATCCAATTGACAATACATCATTAACTTTAGTTTACATAGGAAATTAATCTGCAAACGTTACAGTTGGTTTAGAGACAGTCGTCAATCCGTCACTAAGGTCACGTCAGCCCGTCCCAAGCCTTGGTCATAACTGACGGTGGAAATCGGTACCGTATCGGTATCCCAATACCAAATACCGAAATCCTGAATACTGAATTATACCCGAAAGTCAATCTCAATCTCAATTCCTAAATATTCCGTATCCCAATCGGTACTTTGGTATCCGAATCGGTATTATCGAATACGAAATTAATTACGTTTGAAATAAATAATTAAATATATAAATTAGATTTCATTTCTATCCTGAACTATTTTCTGTTAGTATTGACCGGAGTTGATCATTAGCATTGAATAGAAAGTCTAGTCGGCGCTTATGTGTCATATGACATGGAGTTTTAAATTAATTATTTAATTTTTTTGTTGAAATAATTATTTAATTTTTTTTCATGTCACTTTATAAACTAATTAAAATATGAAAAAAAAAATCTCTACCCAACCCCACCTCTAATCCGCACCTCTCCTCTCTAGTACTACTACTTCTATCTACTCATCGATGTCGGCGGTGCCCCAAACGGCAAACACGCACCTTCTCCCAAATCGACACCTCCTCCGGCGAGAAAGAGGAAGCAACCATCGTTTTAAGTTTTCTATGTTTCCGGAGCTACGCCTGCGGCAGAAGAGGAAATATGTATTTCCTCATTTGGCGGCGACGTAGGAGTAGAGGTGAAGGAGCGAGAGTCGAGAGCTTCCATCATCGATTTGACATCACAGCTTCCATCATCGAAGACGGTGACTTCGAGTTAGACTCGTCAAAGGCGGTGGCCTCTTCTCCTTCCTCCCCTGTTTTCTTTTTCACATTTCTTTCTCTCCACCGTCGTCGTTGGCGAACTCGAAGGAGGAGGACCAGAGTGGCGACGTAGATCTTCGTCTCCACTCGATAGATTTGTTCTAGATCTGGCTATTGAAGAATAGCTCGTCGCCCAAGTATATGCATTCGGTATGATCCGGCACAACATATCCGAACTGGCCAAGAATTCGATCTCGTAACCCATCTGCGCCACTCCTGCAATTAGGGCTGTAAGTTTGGTACCGGTATTTGGGATATACCGAATATCGTACCAAATTTATCACTATTTCGTATTACCGAATACCGGCTTACTTTTTAGGGATTGAGATTGGGATTCATTTTGAAGTGTTATTCGGTATTCGGGATTACGGGATTGGGATCAACATATACCGAAATAGCGAGAAATACTAAAAATTAAAAATAAATGAAATATAACATACAACATTTGATCATTCCTCGCTCTTTCACAACTTAGAAGCCCCTATCCAACTCAATTTTGACTAACAAATTTAAGTCACTCTCGTCTCTCACCTAATCTCTTGTTATTTTCATAACACCAAAATGCAAATACTAGTATTAGTCGTTTCTCAGCCTTCAATTCGTCAAATAAAAGATTACCAATTGCAAGAATTTGAGATGTCACCTCTCCTCCATTTTTCTTATCCATATCCTAACGGTAGGCAAACTCAATACTCTTTACTTAGTCTATTTGCCCTAAATTAAATAATCAAATCTAGTTTATATATTTGATTATTAATTATCAAGGTAATTAATTTCGTATTAGATAATATCGATTGGGATACCAGAATATTTAGGGATTGGGATGAGATACCGAAATTATTTAGGGATTGGGATTAATTTTAGCGTGTAATTCGATATTCAGAATTTCACTATTTTGTGTTGGGATACAGAAGAAACTTCCGCTGCCTCTACCGGTAGTGGAGTAAAAGCCCCAGCCCAATTCCTACAATTTACACTCCACCGTCTTTCCATTTGCTTTCATCATTTGAATCTACTTCAGAGTTAGGGGATAGCGAGATGAAGATGAAGGAAAATATTTGTTTTTGTTTTGATTATTTATTTTTATATTTTTATTTTTATTTTTTAATTTATTTTTTAATTAAAATAATCTGACGTGGCATATATGTGGCAGTTCCACGTCAATAAAAGTCAACATCGCTTTGACCACTGTTTGGTCAATCGTTATCTTTAACGGTCAACAAAAATGTTAGGATACAAATGTCATAAAAGTATTATACATCGGGATATAATAGAATATTGAATACAATAGGACACAAGTGACATTTTTTCGATAGTACGTGTGTTGTAGTGTTATTTGCCCTTTAATTTATAAAAATTTCAAATATTCAAAGTAAATAAGATAGAATAGAATGTAGCTTACACAGTTACTAAATTTCTTTTCGAACTTGTTTATGAAAAAATATTATAATGTAACCATGACTTTTCTTTTGTATATTCCGGTTAAAAAGATGGCACAACTAATAGAAGGCAAAAATTATTTTGTTTAGTATATTCAATAATGAATTTTTGTGGTTAACCGCATTTAAACCGCACCATATTTTGCGGTTAACCACAACCATAAAACACTTATAACACTAACCACAAACCACACCGCAGTGGTTAGTCGCCTTCCACCCCTAATCCATGGTAGGCACCGACACTGTTCACTATAGCTAGCTGTCTCTACTAATTAAGTTTACAAGTCTGATGTGATAAGGGAATGGGGGCTTGGGATACAGTCAGTAACCAAAGGTTACTGATCTGTAAGTAACTCACCCGGAGCCGTTGATCTAGGACGGAGCGATCATGTGGCTGGGATTGATACGGGGTGATGAGGGGTATTTCTGTCCGCTTTTTGAATTTTTAATTGTTTCTTTTTTTTTAATTTGCCCAGCATTTATTAGTTTACTTTGCGTGGAGGAGAGAGAGAGTTAGTGTCTTATCTCTACAACTCTCTTTTCCTCTTTCTTTGTTCCTTTCTCTCTCTCATTCTCCTTATTCTCTAGATCTAATCTCTTATTCTGTTCTTCATTTTTCTCTCTAGCAATCTCCTCTTTCTTTGTTCCTTTCTCTCTTCCAATCTCCTTCTTCTCTAGATCTAATCTCTTATTATGTTCTTCATTTTTTCTCTATAACAATCGATGAAGGAAAGGTGCAGCCTCCTTTTTTCAAGTCCTCAGCTTCAAAATTGGTGACGCTCCATATCAACCAAGAGGGGACAAATCTAGGTGAGTTGAGTTTGCATGTTTTAGTTTTTGTTTGTGGATTTTCAATTCCAATCTTCCTCTTTTTTTCTTCTTTTGGTGTTCTCTTTTGCGGAGGAGGAAACGAGAGGAGGCAGAAGAAAGGCATGTGAAGTACGTCTTAGTTTTATGTATATTGTTGTTACCATACTATACCATGGTGGTATTGTGTGGTAATTAGATGTATATTGTGGTTACCATACTATACCATATGGTAATGTGTGGTAACTCGATGTATACAATATGGTTACCATATTTTACCATGAAAGTAGAGTGTGGTAATCGACATCAATTCAGAGAAAGGAGATTCAGAAGACAGTGAAGGGGACAAGAAACCGAACAAAGTTGTAATTATATATATACCACACTATACCGTATGGTAATGTGTGGTAACTAAATGTATTTTTATGCATACCATGTTTTACTATGGTCGTAGATGGTGGTAATTATATTTATATTTGTTGTTAAATGGTTTTACGTTCTCTTACCATGTGGTATTGTATGGTAATTATGATTATTTTATGGTCATTCGATTTACCATGTTCTACTATGGTGGTATTGTATGATAGTTAGATTTATAATTTTTTGTAACATATTTTACCACGCTATACCATGTGGTATTGTATGGTAGTTAGATTTCTAATTTTATTTTAGTATTTGTACCATATGGTATTGTATGGTAATTAGATTTGTAATTTTCTTTAACATATTTTATCATGTTTTACCATAGTAGTAGAAAGTGATAGACATATTCATACTTGTAATTACCCTTCTTGGCAGAGAATTATTAAATGAAAATTTCATCATTCAATTTAAGTTGGAGTTGGAGTAGAGAGAGCTGAGATTGTTGAATTCATATTTGTTTTAGAGATAGAGTTAGTGTGCAGAGAGCATATACTTTTTTTCTTTCTTTTTTCAGTTGTAGATGGGAGAGAGAAGAAATAATTTAATTTTTCTTTTAATAATAGATAAAAGACTGACAGAGGGAAACATGTGGGGGACGGGGAGTGGGGTCCACGTTCGGTCAAAAGAAGGCGTCAAGTCGTCAGCATTAAATGAGGGGGTGGATGTAAATTACCTTACTGTCCCTCCGTGTTTCATTTAAATAAAAGGGAACGGCTCAGATGCAAACACGTGGAGGACAGAGGAAGGGGTTACGCACGGTTACTGAGGATAGGGTTACTGACCTGATCCGGACCCAGGAATGGGAGTGTACAATACTTGTTGGTGGGTGAGTTGGCGAAGATAAAATTGCATAATAACCAATAATAACCAGTAGAGGTGGCAAATGGATTGGATTGGTGGATTGGATTGGTGGATCCATGGATCAAATGGATTGGATCTAATGGATTGGTGGATTCATGGATTGGATCAAGTGGATTGGTGGATTATCCATGAATCCAAATGACATCCTCAACCAAGGACCAATATGTAAAATGTAAAAAGTTTAGGTACTAAAATGTCACAATGAAAAATTTTAGGTACCAAAACGTAATTTTTCAATGATATTTTTCGTATAAAAAATAAAATTTTAGGTACCAAAATGTAAAAAATAAAAATTATAGATACTAAACCGTAATTTGCCAATGATCCATGGATCCAATCCATGAATCCACCAATCCAATTGGATTTGGATCAAATGGATTGGATTATGTGGATATTTTTAATGGATTGATGGATTGGATTGGTGGATTGGATTGAAATTGCCACCTCTAATAACCAGTCATCTTTTATGGGGCAATTCATCAGTTGCATAATAACCAATTTCTTCACGTTCAAGTCGATAGGGATTGAATCGCAAATATGAAGTCGCAACCAACGTAGATTTGGTAGAATTTGTTTGAAATCTCCAGACAACTTTCCACAACACACTTCGACATATTTCTGAAATTCCTTCTCTGTGAGCTCAAAATCCTCACCGCACTCATTTCAACTCTAAGAACTTTTAATCCTTCATTTCCTTGTTAAAATGAAATCGTACCACAAAACTTAGTAATAGACTAATAGGGAAAGAGGGTGGAGAATAGCATATTAAATGACCAATAATAATCATATGAATTTTAACATCAGGAACTTGATCATCAGGTGCTTGTATACAATGTAGTCCAAATTTCGATTTTAATTTTAAAACCTTACGATTTTACGATCTTATCTATGGGTTTTTATCCTTATTATTACAAAATATTTGAACCTTAAAATCCCATAAAATCTCGATTTAAAACTCTAAAATCCTTAAAATCTACGATTTTGTACGATTTCAAGGTTCATGTCTATTGGAGCAAATTTAGGTTGGCCAGGTCAGGTTTTTCCCATGAATCGGATCAAGTTTACTTCCCCCGACCCAACATAATGATCAATACAACCCTTATCCGATAGGCGACCCTCACTTTATTTTCGTTCTCTTCCTCGTATCTTCCTCTTCTGCATGCCGACGTCCAACTCCTTCCATCAACGATTTCTTCCACCCTCCCAATTAGCTCGTATTTTGTTCCCACCACCCTCACAATTATCCTAAGCTTCATTCCATTGCAAGCTTTCGTTCATCTACCAATCCTTCAGCACCACTATCCCCGACCTTTTAGCGATTAAGAAGGGAATGCATCAATCAATGAGTTAACTTTTCCAGATGATGGTGCTTAAGGAAATATGGTTAATAGTGAAAGTACTTCAAGTGATTAGACAAGGATTCTATGAGGATGAGAGTGAGGGTGAGGATGATGATGCGTGAGAGATGTTAATGTTGATCCTAGCGATCTTATGTGATTGATACTCTTAACTATTAACTAAATTAAGGGATTTTTATGAGTTTTAGGTTGCTTATTTGTGTGTTTATGTTATGTTCAGGAATAAATATATGAATTTAGTTGTGTTTATTTCAGACAAACTTATCTCGGAAAGTAATTAGGTTATATGTGGTTGACTGTTATTGAGGATATGCATTATTATTAATATATGGTGTTTTAAGTGTTTATTTTAATATGATTATATGAACCTTAAAATCTTACAATTTTATGATTTTAATCTACGAATCCGATTTTACCTCAGTTTTTTATTTTAGTAAAATCACGATTTTGACTGCACTGATTATATATTCTAAATTTCAATTGCATAAAAAATGTGATGTACACATTCAAAATGTGATATAGTATTGTGACTAAATAGGTAACAATAACTCTGTAGCTTATGCTTAGATGGAAATATACATATAAAGAATATTTGAAGAACATTTTTATTTAAAACCTACAAGTGTCACTTATCAAATTTATGAAGGAAATCCTATATGCACCAGAAAATAAAATGGAGCACTAGAAACATAATACCTCTCCATTGATTAGCATGTCCACCCCATCCTCGTTGGACCATATTCTGGTTCGCTTCCAAAGATGTTGATCATCTCCTTAGTTACCAATCGTTCTGCCAAGGTCTCTTACATGGTCATGTATCCACAATTTATTATCATTATCCATCTTTATCAAGGACCGCAAAATGAGAGTGCTAATACCACTTTCAGGATTAAAATTACAATCACTCCACATATAGAAAGGCAATTCCGTGTTTTCTCCAGTAAAAAGACAAGCAATGTCATGAAAATTTTTATTTTTCACAACTACTCAACTCATCATAGCCTATTTTCAATCTCTCTTACACCTTGGTGGGAGAAATTCTCTTCAGTTCTATCAACTTCGCTTCCCAAAACCTTTTCTCTCTACGAAACAAAAGCGACCCTATAACTTCAAGAGCTAAAGGAAGCCCTGCTGCAACTTTGACGAACTTCTTGCACAAAGCTGCCCTATTGCGGGTTATCCATTATAAAATCATGTCTTCTAAGAAGTTTAAGGGAATGGTCATGACTCATCCCTCCAACTTCATACAGCTTAGATACTTGTAGCAACTCCAGCACCCTTTTATTTCTTGTCGTGATGATAAATCTACTTTCACAGGAAAAATTTCTCACTTCCCCCAAGATTTGGTCAAACTCAAACCGATCATCCACATCATCAAGAATAATGATAACCTTGTGGAGGCATACTCTACTTTTTATGATGTGGATTCCTTCACTAGCATCTCTAACCTTGTGATAGTCCCTCAGAGTGCTAGAAATAATCTTACTCTGCAGAGTTGTAACACCATCATTCTTCAACGATAGTGTTTCTCATACATCTTCCAGAAATTAGGGACGATCGAATTGTGTAAAGACCTGTTATAAACGGCATTGGAAATAGTGGTCTTACCAATATTGTCCATACCGTGAATGCCAACGACACTAGCGTCACCTTCAAAATCTAATTTCATCAATTCCATCACGTGGATTACATGAGAATCGATTCCAATCAACTCTCGTTACTAACGTGTAGTTCCCCTTTATGTGTGACCACACCTCAGAGAAAATGCTTTCTACCATTGCTCCCAGTCTAGCAATTAAATAAAAATTTGTATGTCAACCGCAGATACTTAGGTGATTTCACATGTAGTCTCCAACATCAACCAAACACATCCAGCCAAGTCCATGAATTGTAAACACATAGAAGTTGCATTATCTATTTGACTCGGTCACGAGCCATCCAATCATTTGCCCGACCTCTTCGAGTACATCCTTCCCGGCCCCAATGGTTTCTTTACCATACTTCAATCTATGTTGTTCCAATACTTCCTTATAGGAACTCTTACAACCGCACATCTCCAGGCTCCATGGAATAAAAAATGGGCTGTATAACATGACGACTTTCATCTTTCTTGCAATGTTCCACCATCAGGGCTAGCTCCTGAAGGCACCATTTGCTAGATGCATAGCCAGGGGAAAGGATTAGGATGTATATTTTGGACTCCCCAATTGCCTTTACTAGAGAAGGGGCAATCTTTTCCCCCTTGCGAAGCTCTTCGTCGTTAAGTAAGGTACGTATCTTGGGACGATCTAGGAGTCTCCAGAGGAAATCGACGAAAGTTGTACGGACATCAGGTTCTCGAAAGCTCAGGAAAATCTCGTACTCTACAGCTGGTAAAGGATCCAGCAAAAGGAATGAAGATGCCATAGGATTCAACCCACTTAGCTCTGTCCTCTTCTAGTCTAGATATGGAACAAGCAACAAAATAAAGTCATAGCACTAGACCGAATCAAATACAACTCTATGCGCAGACACAGAAGCCACAAACATTAGACAACATCAGCTCCGTTCTTTTCCAGCCAATAAACGCAAGTAAAAAGTGTCTATTAACAACAAAACCTCAACACACTGAAAACAAAAACCACCAACAGTGAAACTTAGGATCTGGGGTCTTACCTAAACGTAATCCGGAGAACTAATTCAAAATCTTTGGGAATTGATCACAAACTCCTGACTTTCTGCTATGGAGGAATGAGCAGGAAGTGGGGAATGAAGGAGGAGATCCAAGGATTGTATTTATGTTTACCAGTTTGTAGCCAACCCTTGAGAAAACGCTAGCCAGAGGACCCGTCAATCGGATAAAGTTCCCAAGTCAAAGTAAGGTCATTCACTCATTTCGATTTTACTCTTCTTTACTGTTAAAAATTTCCCTTTGTCTTCCCGCTTCACTAATCTTACTCTCACTGGTCAAATCAGTCGCCGATGGCTGGACCTTCAATAATCTTTCATTCATCTCCCCGTCGTCGTTGGCGCCTCCTGACTCGCATCACAAGAACCACCGTGCAATCACCCGCCACCCGTCGCTCCCTTGCCCTAGCAATTTCCCCGATAGCAGCAACAACAACATAGAAATAGGAAAACTTTGCGGATACACAAATTAGACATTCCGCGAGCATGGCTTGTTCCAAACCCTCGTAGGAATTCCTACCACTAAAATCTCGAAGCACCCAACTGTCTCCATCACCGTCCTACTGCCGCCAGGAAATTTAATGTCTCGATCCGACTCGTCCAATGCGGCGCCGCCTGAATTCCCAACCAAACCAGTAAAGCAGTCGTAGACTAGGCTAGACTACGCATTCGGAACAAAATAGAAGAGAGAGTCAGACCGCTAAAAGCGAGATCTAACATGGGCCATCTTCCTGCAGCCCACTTTGCTTTTCATAAAAAGCTCAACGGGCTGGGCTGACATACATCGAATGGTTGTATCAAAATGCGCCAACCATTTTAGACTCTTAAGAACATTGCATAGGTAAGTTGCACGAAACTATGTTCTTGTGCAGAAGAGAGATGAATATTGTAATCTTTCTGCAAGGAAGAAATGGAGCTGCAAATAAAGTGCCTCTGCTTTGCTTATCTTGAATTTGAAATGTCAATATATCCATAAAATGTGTCGGGGAAATTCGTTTTTAGCTTACAGAAAGAACGAGCATACAAAGGCAAGATAATGTAGAACGGAATTTCAGTGAACGAAGCAAATCCAGTCAAGTATGCATCCAAGTAAGCTTCGGAGCCGAAGATGTCTTCAGAACCCGGCCATCGAGATTAATTTGCTTCGGAGCCCCAAATATCCCCAAAGTTTCCAGCCTTCTCAAATACCCTAGACCAGCAAAAATCTCACATGCCCGAATCCGAAACAGACTTAGTTCCATCAGATTTCTCAAAATTAAACTTGTACCACTTCAAGTAGATGAGAAGTTGATCTATGCATGCACATATCCGGAACTTTTGTCATCCAGTCGCACTGCGGTATATCTATAGCTTTCAGCATGCGTGCTTCCTGAATCAAGACAACAAACTAGGGATGGCAATGGGTCGGGTTGGGTCGGGTTTTGCCAAACCCAACCCATGGGTTTATCCGTGAAAAAAATCCGGGGTAAAACCCTTTGGGTTTGGAAAACTCAAACCCAACCCAACCCGCAGGATATCTGCGGGTTCATGGGTAGCCATGGGTTTTTGTCGTAAAAAATTTACAATAACAAGTTCCTATCAAAATAAAAGTCAAATATCAATCTCTCAATACAAATTATCCATATATAAAACACCATTTTAGAAAATTCAAGCAAATCACAAATTAATCATACAAATTATTCAACACCAATTTAGAAAACTCAAGAAAATTGAAAGCTTCTTCCTCCTTAAACAATTAAGTTTCTGCATTCTCCACTCTATAATATCAACTTCATTCTACACAATTTGAAAGAAAAAATTAGACATGCCTCCACAAACATAAAGAAGATTAGTTGTTTAGGATATTAAATATATCGGGAGAATTAATTATATGGGTGTGGGTGGATACCCATGGGGCGGGTTTACCTAAACCCAAATCCAACCAACCTGGTGAATAGTGAACGGGTTTACACCCAAACCCGGCCAAAAACCCGTCAACACAGATTTTACCCGCATTGACCGAGTTGGGTTTGGTAGAGTACCCGTGGGTTCGAGTTTTGTTGCCATCCCTACAAAAGAAACAAACCGATAACAAAATATGTTACAAGGATAATCGTTAAATAAGATGTTGGTACATTTGAATGTGTGATTATGTAATGCTGATGATTATAAATGGATTGTCTAATTTAATTATGGAAGTATTGAGGGGCTGAAGATCACTCATCCCAAATTTGGATTTGTGAAATCTCTAAATTCAGATTACTAGTTTGATTTGGTTAGTCCGGTTCAACCAAATTTTCAACATGTTGTATAAACTAGTGATTATTGAAAAAAGAAAACCCCAGCAGATCCATTTCCTGTGCAGCAAGAGAACTACTGGTCACAACTGCAGTTATGTTGTAAACACTCCCAAACCCACCTTCCCCAATTTTCAACAGCCGATTAAACCCATTCGTTGCTTGCTTCATCTCCTAGATCGAGAAAACCCGCAGGTACTGCTCTTTCTCCTTGTACAGTTCCTCTCGACGATGGCAGAGATCTTGACGAACGCGCTGCCGAGGACGAATTTCTCACCGTCGATGACTTCCCCAGTTCTGGGGCCGAGATGGATCCTTCCTTCTTGGTCTTCAGTCTCTGCTTGAAGAATTCTGGGAAGCACATCATCTTTCCAAAAACAGGGTAGCTAAGTGAAACTATGTTGCTCGCTTTGCTCGAAAATGAGTGAGACCCAGATGAGGGGATAGGAAGCATGAGAGAAATTGTTGAAATGGGAACGGAGGGAAAGCATGGAAGAAATGTTGTTGGGCGGAGAAAAAAGTGGAGTTATAAAGAGGAGAGAGATCTTAGAAAGGTTGAAGGTTGGGGAAGTATGGAAAAAACAGTGATCAGAGTGCTGGAAATGGTTAGAATACTACTTTGAGGTTACGCTAACGCTACAATTTCGCTATGGTACACACATCAAGTTTTGTGTGCACCAACTCAGACAGAGGGGAGAGGGCCACATCGCCCAACCCAGCAACGGAAGGCCGGGATTGAGGGAGCTGGGCGTAAGAAGAGGAAAGGGAAAAGCGAAGTCAGCTGAGCCGAGCCAAAAACTGGAGGGAGGGAAAATTGGTGGGGTCGGGCAGATCGGATTTGAAATTGAAAAAAAAACTGTCTCCTCCAACCGACGCTCCTCCTCCCCTCTTTTTCCTTCTCTCTGCGTTTTCTTTCTCTATTCTTCTTCTTTCTCCGTTTTCTTTCTCTGTTTTGCTCTCGTCGAACCAGAGAGCACACCTCCCTGCACAAACACAGATCTCTTGTCGACGAGAAAGAAGTACATCGGAACAAGGAAAGCAAGGACGACGAAGTTCCTTCAGTCGACGAGCAGAGCAGTTGATACCAGGGGAGCCTCGACGAGAGCGAATCGTCCTTCCTCGAGTCTGGGTATTTCGGCCGACCTTTCTTGCGTATTTGCTCCCGTGAGGACGATTCTCTCTGTCCTTTTCTTTCTAGGTGTCGGTTTTTCCCTTGAATCCCCCTTTTTGCTTCATTCTTGGGTGTTTAGGGTTTATTGAATACGCGTTTAGGGTTTTTTTGGTACAGCTCCAAAATCGACTCGATTATCAAGGGTATTCTTCATAATGTGTCTTGTGTGGGCGAGATATGTCAATTTTTTGTTGACTAAATTTTTGGGTTCTTGCTTAGAATCAGTAAATATGGTTAGAATCAGTAAGTTTTTGGGCGAGATATGTCCATTTTAGTTTATTCTTGTGTTCCTTGTTCCCTGTTAACCTTCAATATGTTGAATACTGGTTATTTTTGTTTAAAATATTAGTTGACTGTGTAGTTGATGAATACCCTTGAATGACTTGTTTAATGTTGACTTTGTAGTTGACGTATACTAGTTCTTCTTGTTTTAAATATTAGTTGTACAATGTTGACTGTGTTGTTGACTAATACTAGTTCTTCTGGTTTTGAATATTAGTTGTACAATGTTGACTGTTTTGTTGACGAATTCTAGTTCTTCTGGTTTTGAATATCAGTTGTATAATGTTCTTCTGGTTTTGAATATCAGTTGTATAATGTTCTTCTGGTTTTGAATATTAGTTGTATTAATTGAAATTGTTTGTCTGCAACTAGATTAATGCTGCATGTTGAAAGTTTTGAATATTATTTCTCTTCATTGTGTTGTGTTTGTTCCCCTTTTCTGAATGACTTGTTTAATGTTGACTTTGTAGTTGACGTATACTAGTTCTTCTGGTTTTAAATATTAGTTGTACAATGTTGACTGTGTTGTTGACTAATACTAGTTCTTCTGGTTTTGAATATTAGTTGTACAATGTTGACTGTTTTGTTGACGAATTCTAGTTCTTCTGGTTTTGAATATCAGTTGTATAATGTTCTTCTGGTTTTGAATATCAGTTGTATAATGTTCTTCTGGTTTTGAATATTAGTTGTATTAATTGAAATTGTTTGTCTGCAACTAGATTAATGCTGCATGTTGAAAGTTTTGAATATTATTTCTCTTCATTGTGTTGTGTTTGTTCCCCTTTTCTGAATATATTTTTTTGGTCTACAGGTTTGGAATAACGAACCAAGAAGCGTGTTCCTGGCCTTATGAAACGACCCTTAGTAGATCCTCCTGCTGCTACTGAAGATGTTCCTCCTGCTGCTGAAGATTTTCCTCCTGCAAAAAGAGTTAAGTTTGCTGGTGGGAAGTCTGGTGAGACCTCTGCAGGGAAGTCTGGTGAGACTTCTGCTGGGAAGTCTAGGGGGGA